CGGCCGCGGGGCGGGGCCTCCGGGCGCTCCGACCCAGCATGTGACGCAGCTCGGTCCCAACGGGGCCCGGGGAGGGGCGCGCCTTTCTCGGTGGATCTCGGGACTTGGAGCTGGGTGCCCTCGAGCCATGTAAGGAAGGGTCGGGAGCCACGGCGGAAGGCTCGGACCAACTCGGTACCCGAATGAATGGGCTGGGCTGGTGAACCCAAGCTTTCTGCGAGCCCTGTGGGTCTTTTCGGCCTATCCTGCTTTTCCTTTAATCCCAGAGTCTGGGGCTAAATTTCCTGCAGGGCGGAGAGCCGGTAGACTCCAGTCCAGTGGATCCTGTGTAGTCCACAGTGAGGGGAGCTTTGGTTTCTGCCTTCTTTGGAGTAAGGTCTCCCGCACTGCAGCTGCTGTAACTGAAACTATTAACCACGCACAGCCCATAAGAAACAAGCTCGTTGCTACCGTGCTTGCTGATGCTATTGTCTTCTACGAAACCTCTCTAGTGACTGGACAACCTTGCAGCCGGGCAGATGATAAAAGCCCATTCCTGTTTTTGTGAGTCATGAGGAGGAGTTCCTTGTCTAGAGGAACCGAAACCGACAGGGCCAGCAAAATTTGCTGAAAGCCATCACTGGGATACTCGTCACTCCATCGTGTCCCACCTTGTCCCTTCTGTTACCTTCAAATTTGGTCTCTTTTCCTCAAGACCAGAGCTCCCTTACGTGGGAGCAGGAACAATGTCCTCGAGTTACTTGAAGTGATTCCTTAATAGTTGGGGAGCGTGCTAGTATTTTCAGCCAAACCTGAATGTGATTAAATGTGTGATTGACCTGACTTCCAGGCTCAAATAAGCTAACACCATTCAAGGCCCCTGTTTAGGAAAATTGGGTGGAGGCAGGAGTGGGAAGGCTTATTGTACTCCTAACTTGAGTAATAATGACTCTGTCCTGGGGGTGGAAGGTCAAGTCTTCTCTCCTTGTAACACGGGGTTGTGATGGGTCAGGCCTCACTGTTCCTGCATTCAAGTGGGGTCTTGTCATCACTTTGACTTAAGGATGACCACAGGGGTCAGGTGGCCAGGTGGCTCAAGCCTGTAATCCAAGCACTTTGGGAGACCGAGGCGAGAGGATTACCTGAGTCCAGGGGTTCAAGACCAGCCTGGGCAACTTGGTGAGACCTCACATCTACAATAAATAAAAAAAAAATTAGCAGGGTGTGGTGGTATGGGCCTGTAGTTCCAGCTACTTGGAAGGCTGAGGCGGAAGGATCACCTGAACCCAACAGGTCCAGGCTGCGGTGGCCATGGGCATTCCACTGCACTCCAACCTGGGTGGCAGAGTGAGACTCCAACTCAAATAAACAAAAAAAAGGATGACGGCCGGGTGTGGTGGCTCACGCCTATAATCCCAGCACCTTGGGAGGCCGAGGTGAGAGGATTGCCTGAGCCCACGGCCTGGGTGAGACCCCTCCATCTCTACAATAAATAAAAAAAACTAGCCAGGCATGGTGGCGTGTGTCTGTAGTTCCAGCTACTTGGAAGGCGGAGGTGGAAGGATCGCCTGAACCCAGCAGGTTGAGACTGCAATGGCCGTGATCATGCCACTGCACTCCAGCCTGGGTGACAGAGTGAGGCTCCTGCTCAAAAAAAAGGATGACTGCCCAGCCTTTTTGCTTCCATCAGCATCCTCCAACCCTCATCCGACTGTTTTCCTTTATACCTCTACTGATTCAGAAGTCTGGTCTTGAGTGGGAAAAGAAACCACTCAAAAAGCCTTTCTAGAAAGTCATCAATAATCCATGGATAGCATTAAGTTCTTACGCATTAAAATGTCTCCGGATATTCAGTTATAATGACTCCCTTCCTGAATGTTTTTTCCAAGGCCCCAAATGATCCTGATGTTCTATAGACAATATCTCACACGGCAGAGTGCTTCTGGGGTAAGAACCAGTGACCTTCCCTGGAATCCTGACTGGAGGTTCTGTTTAGAACACAGGTCTCATTTTGTGAAGTTCTTAGTATTTCTCATCCATGAGTTCACAGGTTCAAAGAAACATGGGGTGGCATACTGTTATGACTGAGTAAGCAAGAAGAAGCTATGCCCGCAGGTTGAGTTTAATTAATTATTTATTAACGTGTGGGTCAAGAGTAGGAACGAAAACTCTTGACAAATTGGTACAGTTTGTGACAAGCTTTTATAGGTAAAATTGGCAGCATTGGCTACCTAGCCACTTAGTGACCATAGCAACTATTAACTAACAACTTGGCAACCAAAATGGGAACTTCGATTGTTAGGGAGCTTTGATTAATTTCATGTCCTAGGTATAGCCAGTGCCCAGAAAGTGTCTGGTGTTCTGCCATTAAGATATAGTTTAAGGTAGTTACATAGAGACAGGGAAGAAGAGTCATTATACAATGTAGTTACCTTGGTTAGGTCAGTAACAGAATATAAGAACAAACTCTGAAAATGTCAAAGCGTATCCTTTGATTTCAGTTAACAAAGCATACAATCACATGGAACTTATGGTGAAGGAGTTCTGTAACGGTCAGCAGGTAATGGTCAGTGTAACCTGCCCAAAGGAGACAAAGCTGGGTGTCTGTGCTCATGGGAACATTACCGGAATCACATGTAGACATTGATTCTTATGTCAGGCAGGTAACAAAGACGAACGTTTACAACAAAATGGAGTAAGCTGGTTAATATTATTATTTTGCTAGTAATTTGATTTTATTAACTGATTCAGCTCATTTCAATACAAGGGAAAGAAGCAGCAGGAATGGGGACACCTGGTCAGTGTGGCAGAGCATTCTGGGGAAAATCGCTGGACGGACAGAGTGACAAATGCACTTGGGTGGGGGGGAAAGGAGCAATGCAGGGGGAGAGGACACTGTCTAGACCTTCCAGCTCAGGAGAAAGGACTGAATCCAGGAAGGAAAGGGAGAGTCGAGACTGGATGCTGGGGCAAGCCACAGAGTCAGAAATCAATTGGAGTTGATGAAAATTAGACACACGTAAAAGGGACCGTGGTTTCCTGATAGGAGAAACAATAATAAACATAATTTTAGAGACTTTGCTATTTGGGGAAGGAAGCTTCTCATACGAGGCTGGATTTCTCCCTTCTGAAACACATTTTGTTCATTATTTCTCTTTAATTCAGATTTTCTGGCTTTGTAAAAACTTAAGTCGGGCACGGTGGCTTATGCCTATAATCCCAGCACTTTGGGAGGCCGAGCTGAAAGGATTGCCTGAGCCCATGAGTTCAAAACCAGCCTGGGCAACTTGGCGAGACCTCATCTTTACAATAAATCAAAAAATTAGCCAGGCGTGGTGGCGTGTACTTGTAGTTCCAGCTTCTTGGAAGGCTGAGGTGGAAGGATTGCCTGAGCCCAGCAGCCCAGCAGGTCGAGGCCGTAGTGGCTGTGAGTATGCCACTGCACTCCAGCCTGAGCGACAAGACTGAGACTCCAACTTACCAAAAAAAAAAAAAAAAAAAAAAGGCTGAGCCTCTGGAATCCCAGCGCTTTGGGAAGCCGAGGTGAATGGATCGCCCGAGCCTGAGGGTTCGAGACCCACCCGGGCAACTTGGCGAGACCTCGTCTCTACAATAAATCAAAAAACTCGCCAGGCATGGTAGTGCATGCCTGTAATTCTGGCTACTTGGAAGGCTGAGACAGAAGGATCGCCCGAGCCCAGCGGGTCGAGGCTGCAGTGACCGGAAGCGTGCCATTGCACTCCAGTCTGGGTGACACAGTGAGACTCTAACTCAAATAAGAAAAAAATACATCACTGAATATTTTAAACAGAATTGTCACAAAGCACAGACCAGAAACAGGGCATGTGACAAGTCCTGGATACCTGAGGAGTGCCAGTCACATGAGATTTTAGGACAGAACAGAGATGGACAGATTAGGACAGGAGACCATAAGCATGGCCTGGAGCCATGTCAATAGCCGCCTCTGGTGAATTCTTTTCTTGGAGTAAATGAAGGAGCTCCTCAGCTCTTGGGGTTTCTCAACCAAACCAGCTCCCATCATAATTGCCTTATCTTCTGCTGGTGATTGTTGAGCCTCAAATATGTGTAAAGCACAGAAATAACTCAATGGTGGGGGAATTTTGGCTAAAATTTAAGTTTACCGGGCAGTGATCCATCTGGGAAACTTGCGTTATTTTCCCTCCCTCTCTTGCGTGTTCACAGAAACAATAAGCACACACAAAAAATCACTTTCTTAACTTCTAGTGGACAAACCATCATTGTGTTTGTCCTGACTACTAGACTTGGAGAAAACATGAGTGAGCATTTGCCTTCAAATTTCAATGTCTGTGTCCTGATTTCTATGTTCACAATTTGATGAAAAAAGCACTGATTTGTTGTAAAAATACAGGATACCAGGGAGAGCAGTTAACCAAGCAGGCCCTGGCTAATAAGCAATAATGTCCCATGAGATATAAATGTAACATAATCGGGCCAGGCGTAGTGGCTCACGCCTATAATTCCAACACTTTGGGAGGCCAAGGTGAGAGGATTACCTGAGCCCACGGTTTGAGACCAGCCTGGGCAACTTGGGGAGACCTCATCTCTACAATAAATCAAAAAATTAGCCGGGCAGGGTGACGCATGCCTGTAATTCCAGCTACTTGGAAGGCTGTGGTGGAAGGATCCCCTGAGCCCAGCAGGTCGAGATTGCGGTGGCCGGGAGCGTGCCACTGCACTCCAGCCTAGGTGACAGAGTGAGACTCTGATTCAAAAAACAAAGACAAAAACAAATAAAACAAGCAATTACTGTGAAAAACAGAAAACATAGATAAGCAAATCAGGCAGGAGGAAAAACCCAAAGACTCACCCCAAACCCCACTGCACCTCCTTTT